TCCCTCTCCCCTCTCCCCTCTCCCTCTCCCTCTCTTTCCCTCTCTCTCTCTCTCTCTTTCTCTCTCTGCTGTGATGCCAGGAATTAAACCCAGGGCTGCTCTGCCACTGAGCCACACCCAGCCCTTTTTATTTGTATTCTGAGACAAGGTTTTGCTGAGCTGCCCAGGCTGGCCTGGGACTTGCCTTCCCCCTGCCTCAGCCCCCTGAGCTGCTGGTATTGCAGGTGTGCACCCCATGCCTCCTCTGTGTGCCCCCTGTGCGCCCCGCGCCTTCTCTGCCGCTTGCTCTTGCAGCTTCGTGGACTCTGTCTGATGCTGCCGTCGGGGTACTTGCTTCCATGCCACTGCCACTCTTGCGGCTGCCGTCACCATGCCAAGAGCCACCTGGAACACAAAAGGTAACTTCCCTCTTAGGACAGTTCTTCAGCCCAAGATCGACACTTACTTCATTTGCCCATGTGTAGGATGCTTCTTTCCTTTGCCAATAAAGTAATAGAGCTGAATTCATTTGGGGAGGACTCATGCCCTTTTCTCATTGTCTTGCTCAGGTGTGCTTTGGCGACTCTGAACCAGCATCCCAAAATGGTCACCGGTCTGCCAGGGCTCTCAGACCCCCAGGCCAGCTCTCTGGTTCCCAAGGCACCCTGCTCTTCCCCCTGGGCAGCGAGGTAGGCACTGCCTCCCCTTCCTTAGATTGTGAAACAGACGTTCGACTTTGGCCCTGGTGTTGCCGGAGCTCCTGCACAGGGTGAGTGGACCGGACCCTGACCAAGGGAGCCCGAGGCCTCTCACTGGGTAGGTTGCAGAGCCCAGTGAGGAGGAGGCTCTGGAATGTGCAGTGTGACCATCACTTGCCACTGCTAAGAGTTGGACACTCATTAGGTCTCATGCAGGCAGCAAGGCTCCGGGACCCCCCGCCTCTTTCGTGTACCTTTGGCCCATCTCCTGCCGTCCAGTGTTTTGTTTGAACGATGCCAAACATTTGGAGGGTTGGCTGGAGCCTTCAGCTCTTTCACCCAGATGCTTGCAATCCTGTGGACGGTGGTGGAGGCTTGTTTATTACCCTGCATGTAATCACGCTGCGTCTGCACAATCTTCCTCCTCCAGATGACACTGGCGAAGTCGGTCAGTCACCCAGATGTCTCCAAATGTCGGGGTGTTTGTCATTGCCAAAGAACATCTGGATGCCTGTGCGTGTTTTTCCATTCTTATTCATGTCTTTGGCATAGATGCAGCCTTGGGTTTAGTTGCTCTGGATACAGAACAATAAATAGCCTTAATGGGGACCGGTGGACATTTAACAGAGATGCATTCACAGAGTTCCTGTGGCCAGAATCCCAGGTCTGTGCAAATGGAAAACTGTCACCATCTGAGGAAGTCTCCCCAAGAGACCACAGGGATCTCTAGAGGCCCGTCCTTGCCGGGGGTTAGGAAGGTGGGTGCCATCAACTTTTATGTAGCAAGGACCCCCAGGGCTGGGGGACACATGTCCAAGGAAAATGAGAAACTTGGCAGCATTTATAGACCCAAAAATAAACCAGAAAAATAACACCCGTTAAATGGAGTGGGTACTAATAGATCTGAGGGAAACTGCCTGTCCTTCTGGTGCCTGAGACACACTCCCCTGCCCCTGGCCCCGCAAAACGCCCTCCTAGGGGCCGCCCTACCCCAGGGGCGCCACTTACCCCTGAAAGCCTGCCTCCCGTTGGTTGGTCCAGCTGTCCGGCTGGCCCACTGCAGTGCAGAGACAGGTGGGCTCTGGCGGCCAGGAGAGACCCGGGGTGCAGGAGGGCAGAGCTGGCCCTGGGAGAAGGTGGAGCCCAGGCAGAGCCCTGCAGAGAGGAGGCCCAGCCAGGCTGCTACTGGAGAGGGAGCCACAGGGCGGGTGGAAGTGGCGAGTGCCAGCCCTGTGTGTACGCTCAGCGTGCGGAGGAGAAGGGTGGACGGTGGTCAGCACGTGGCTCCAGGGGAGGTGACCTTGAGGACAAGATGCCCTTCCTCAGCACGTGTTTTATGGCAACTGGAATGATCTAGCGGAGAGGGAGCGGCTGGTGACCGGAGAGCAGAGCTGGTGTGAGGTCCTGGAGCCGGAGGGGCCTGGCCTGGCCTCTCTGTGGGCAAGCTTGGGGGAGGTGCAGGTGCTGTTTCTGCCTTTCAGAATGGGCCTGGGGCCCTGGGTCTGCAGGCTGGAGGGCAGGCGTGGGGGGGCTGGAGATGGGGAGGCACTGTGCAGGGATGTACTGTGGAGGGGGTTACAGTGCAGGGAGACACTGTGCAGGGGGTGTATGGTGCAGGGGGTGTACTGCACAGGGGAGGTACTGCACGGGGCAGGTACTGCATAGGGAAGTACTGTGCAGGGGGTGCACAGGGAGGTACTCTGCAGGGGGCACACAGTGCAGTGGAGGGGCGGCACAGGGGAGGTGTGCAGTGCAGTGATGTGCTGTGTGGGGGTGCATGGTGCAAGGGTGTACTGTGCAGGGGAAGTATTATGCAGGAAAGCCCAATATGCTGAACCTGAAATGCAATTTGTGTACCAGAAAACACACTTCTAAAGCCTGCAGTGTGGGAGCTTCAGCATACTCACAGCATTGTGCCAACTACTATGTAAATCTAGAATTTCTGAGGCTCACCCAGGTTGCAGCGTGTACCAGCCTGCCCTCCTTCACCGTCCTATGGCTACAGCACACCGTCTTGTCCATTTGTCTGCTGCTGGGCGTGTGCACCGTCTCCCCAGCTTGGCCATCTGGATGATGATGCCACACCTACTCGTACAACATCATTTTTAATTCTTTGGGGCGTATGCCTAGACAGTCCCTGGGTCTCTGGTAACCTGCACGTTACTGTTTAGTGAGCTCCCAGCTGTGTCCCAGCGCGGCTGCACCAGTCCCTCTTTCCCGGGGAAGACTGGCCGCCCCAGTCTCTCCACAGCTGCCCAGTCCCTCCCCGCCTCCTGCGGCACTCCCTGTTGGCCATCTTTCTAACCACAGCCGTGCCTGTGTCTGTGTGGAGTGGTGTCTCCACGTGGTTGGAGTTTCCTGAATGTGAGCGTGTTTCCGATGTTTCTTGGCCATTTTGTATCTTCCTTGGAAAAGTCTCTCTTCCAATTCTTATGCATTTGTTGGGTTGGGTCATCTCTGTGGCTGAGTTGTGAGAGTCCTTTGTGAATGCTAGGCTTGTATCAGGTGTATGACACATTCAGTTTTGATAAAGTTAAATCTATTTTTTTCTTTGATGCTTTGGTGTTGTATCTAAGAAACCACAACCCAAGCTAAGGTCATGAAATTTTACTTCCACGTTATTCTCCAAGAGTTTTAAAGTTTTGTCTCTTACATTTAGGTCTTTGGTTTGTTTTGATTAATTCTTAAACATAGCATGAGACAGGGACTCTGACAGTTCATGTTAAGTGCCAACTAGACGAGACCAGCAGATGCTCACACAGTAGATTAAATAGTGCTCGAGGTCTCCGTGAGGGTGTTTGGGGAAGAGAGGAGAACATGAATTCACGGACTGGATGGAGGCGAGGCCCCCCAGCACAGGGGCACATGCAGGGGCCGAATGGAGCGGGGAAGTGAGTTAGGCTGGAGCGGCTCTCTGCCTCCTGCCCGCTGTGTGCTGTGTGCGCTCTGCGTGCGAAGCCTGCAGACGTGCCCTGGACTCCCAGCAGCCTGTCTGGCTCTGGGGTCTTTGAACTGCACCAGGCCGCTGTCCTGGACCTCCAGCTCTCTGACAGCAGGCGGCGTGCTCCTCAGCCTCACGCTCCCTGAAGCAGTGTTCTGCACCCACGTTGACACAGGGCCCAGCTTCATTCTTTCTCACCTCAAGTCCCGGGGACCTGGGAGGCTGGGGCAGGAGGATGGTAAGCTCAAGGCCAACCTGGGAAACTTAGTGAGGCCCTGTCCGTGGTCGAGCTTCCCTGGGTTTAGTCCCCAGTACCCTTTAAAACAAGAAGAAAAAAGAAACAAATCCTGTCTAACAGCCCAAGGGTTTCTAGACAGGAAAGATTTCCCAGCATCACTGTGTCTGTTTTTATAAAAATGTGTCTACTTCGCTGCCTGCATCTGCTGTCCAGTTCCTGCCCGGACCCCTCTTTCCACCTCAGGAGTGAAGAACAAGGACCATGGGTCACCAGAGACGATTACCTGACCACGCTGCACAGCGCGGATCCAGGCCTGTCAGTCTGGGTGGCTGAAGATCACCTTGCCCACCTCTGAGGGTGAAAGTGACCGTTTACCCAGCTCTCTGGGTTCTTTAATCTGGATTCCAGGACCCAGTCAGTCACAAGGTTTTCAGGGAAATGTTTGGGCTAAATCATAGAAAAGATCCTGGTGCCAGGGGCCTCCCAGGTAAGGGGCAGCCTGGGCTCACAGCCTCCGGGCAGCCTGGGCAGGGACCTCTCCATCTTTCTGCCCTTCCCGGGGCTGGAATTGAACACAGCAGTGACCTTTGACCCTTTGACTCTACTGTGGGGCCAACCTGCTGGGGACAGCAGAGCTGCTAGGTGGCACCTGGCTCCCCGTCCCTCATGGCCCTGGGCGTCCTCTTCTGGGCTGCCCCTCACAGCCTGTGTGTGTCCTCTGGGGTCCTCTGCTGGACAGCCGGGCTGCGCTCTGCGGGTCTGCTCTCGTTCCCGGAGGCCAGCTTTCCTCTGGGATGCTCCTGCACCACGGGAGGAGGAGCGCCCTGGACTGCTCCACTCTCTCCCTGACGGCACCGGGCGGGCGGGCTCCTGCTCTTCTGGGCTGCCCTCCTCCCAGCGCTCTCGAGTTTGCTGAGGCTCTTGCTCCTCAGGTGCTTTCTCTGCCTTTGAAATCTGTGTTCACAGGCTCCGAAACTGACACCTTCAGGAATTCTTTCCGACCTGATGCTTCCAGTAGCATCTGAGGAGGAAACGGCAGTTTCAGGGGATTCTGAAGGAGGAGAGCCTCGCTGCCCGGCGTCAGCCTCCCTCCCAGGGGCCACGGCCACGAACTTGGCAGAAGACCCTCGAGGACCTGTTCAGGGCTGCGGGGAAGACGCGCCCCAGGCCACACGGGGAGGATGTGGGACAAGGCCCTGTTGAAGGGAAGAAGGTCCCTTTCCCCGTCTGCACGTCTCAGGGAGCCGAGTGACCGCGGTCCTCGGCTGACTCAGATGAAATCACAGCCAAGCAGCCCCGGAGGAGAGCCTGCGGGGTGACCGGCCGTTCCTACACCTCTGGGTTTCCACCAGGTCGGCTGCAGGCTCCACCCACGCAGGGTGTGCTGTGACGGTCACCAACTTAGGGATGCCCCACAGGAGGGGCACGTGACTTCCCAAGCCCCACCGAGAGTCTGTGATACCGAGGACATGACACCCCAGGACACCAGCGCCCCCCTGCCCTGGTCAGTGCTGTCCTGCCCAGCTTCCTCCTTATTCATGAAAATGGCTTGATTAGTGTTGATTAGCGGCCCTGAAGGAGGACGGGACAGCAGGTGCATGCGGTGGAGTTGTGTGTGCAGAAGACTGGGTGGGCAGAGCCTGGGTTCACCCCAGGGATGGGTACAGCGTATACAGCAGGTGGAAAGACCTGCACCAGGCAGGGTGGAAAGACCAGACGGCAAGTACCCCAGAGGGGCTGCGTCCACCCAGCTCCAGCTCAGAGCAGCCCAGCCCTGCCATGTCCTGCCGCAGGGTGTCCCCTTTAAACCCAGGAGGAGGGCGCCAGGGGAGGTGCCTCGGGCATGGGGCAGGGCCAGGTCTGCCGTGGGCCACGAGTACAGGCTTGTCTCCAGAGGGAGGACAACAGCCAGGTGCTGTGCTGGAGCAGCAGACCTGGGAGGCGGGAAGCCGATTCCCCGTGGTTTCTTGGACAAATCACTTCATCTTCTGGGATACAAGGTGTGGCTTCTTAACCTAAAGGAGGGGTTTGGGCCAGAACAAGCCCAGGGCAAGTGCTGTGCTCCTGTTCTTCCCTCATTAGCTCCTGCAATTTGACCGAGTGCCTGCCCGCGGGCTAGCAGTGGCTTTGGGACATGGAGCACATAAAACAGAACAATAAAAATGGAGGAGGAGGAGAACCCTGCCATTTTTGAGTTTATGTCCTGGTGCAAGGAGAGGTGAAGCAGCAGTAAACACGCAGCTTAGTAAATGCCGGCAGGTGGGGAGGTGGCGTGGAGGAGGAGGAGCAGCGTTCACAGTTTCAGATGGGGACTCCACAGGGCCTGACTTTAAAGGGAACACTTAGGCAAACCATTGGCAAAGCAGGACACTGGCCAAGGATGTCTGTGCCAAGGGCAGCTGCAGAGGGGCCACCGGGCAGAGTCTGAGGCCGGAGCTCGCTGGCCCCTGCAGCAGCCAGCAGGGAGATCCGGGACTCGGATCTTACGAGTGAGAGGGAGCCCCCAGGGCTTTGAGCAGAGGACGACGTGGCCCCTAGCACCTTAGAAGGATCATCCTGACTCCGTGGAGCATAGGCTGCAGGCAAGGCCAGGTGGAAGAGGGAGGCCAGCGGGAGACCACTGAGAGGTCCTGGGTGAGAGATGGTGTGGACGGAGCAGTCTGGCCGCGTGTAGGGCGGTGGGAGAGTGCCCCATAGATGCGCACAAGCCCTATGTCCGTATAAAAGAAAAATAATAAAGCATTAAGAGAGGAGCGCAGTAGGGGGGCAAGAGGGGCCATGGGTTAGTGTGCAGGAAGAGCCTGGGCTCCTGGGGGGCGGGGCTCTGGGTGTGCTGTGCAGGAAGGAGACCTGGGCTCCTGGGGGGCGGGGCTCTGGGTGTGCTGTGCAGGAAGGAGACCTGGGCTCCGGGAGGCTGGGTGTCGGTGGGGGAGAGGAGGGGCCAGAGGCTGGGGTTTCTAGACCTA